CAGCACAAACACCCAAACCCTCCCAACAGGCATGAACAAAGTTGCATGAACAATTCAGCAGCTACTTTGTAAATTATGAAGCTGCTTTTTTCTTGTACAGTAATTTGGCATCAGTCACCGCAAGAAAGGGGAAAGAACCTAAAGGTCACCTCATCCATTTATCTGCAAACACAGTTGTGTCATTAATCCACGTCCCTCCTCTGAGTCAGGCTTTGTTGGTTTTAATGGTTTGGAATATCAAGACAGAAAACCGATAGACTACCTGCCAGTTTTCTAGTTTAGTTAAAAATGTTGGTCCTAAGGGAGAGAAAACACTGAATTTAGTTCTATAACAGCATGAGTTTCAGTCTTTCCCCTTTAGGAAAAGTTGCAGGATCCCAGACATGAGTCACCTCTTTGGAAGAAAAGGGTGGAATATTACAAATATTTTTGCCCAGGGGCTTCACCAAGAGGTGGGAGGATTAATGGAAAGTGTCTGCTCATGCCATGCATCTCCCAGGCTCACCATTTCCAGCCTTGCCCATTTGTTTAGGAAGCTGTGAGTTCTGGTGGAATAGGAATGCTCAGGCAGTTTATACTGTTGTGTTCCCAGTTGCAAATAACACTGTGCAGTTCAGTTCAGCTGTAGAACATGGGCTGATAGCCTAAATTATTATGTTGGGATTTACTTTCCCTATAGTTCAAAGTAATTAATTGACTCTCATTACTTGCTTTAGTTCTGGATTTTCTCATGAGTTTTAAACAAATCCTAAACAGATCATTTTGGGGAAGCTTTCATAGTGAGGATTATAAACATCTCTAAAGCAAGATCCTCGTTAGGAGGCATTTTCCTCTAGTTCAGTCTATTAAATATATCTGAAAACAACCAACAGAACAGTAAGATCTTCTTGACTGACAAGCAGAAATTATTTACTTGCTTAATGGTTCATGGAAACTTGTGTTCCCAGCAGTCACAAGAGTTAATTATAAAGCCTTGTATCAGGTTAATAAAACCCAAAGAAACCCCACACCCTCAAAACTTCAGACTATATGGCAAATCACTGTCATAGACAGAGATGTAAATACAAACCTATGTATTTTGAGGGAACTTGGAGCCAATCTTCTATAAATTGCCTAAATTACTCAGTGCCCACAGACCAAAGCCAACTGGATAAAGGAAAAAGTGCTCCTTGTTTTCATCATTGAAAGAAATATGACTGGGCTGAGAGGAAAACAAGACTGGCACGTTAAATATCACTGTTAGGAAAAGGACTACTGGTCTGATTGTAACTCCCATGGGATTCAGTCAACTGCCTGCAACCATGAGATTGGCACTGCTTAAATTCCCAGCTTTCCAGAAGGATGAAGCTCACTCCCTATTCATCTTTGCCACCATCTGAAGAATTAAGAGAGTGGCTGGTGATGAAGAGCCAATCAATCATGTTTATAGTGACAAGCATGGCTGTTATAAAACAGATACTCTTACAGCACAGGGTAACCTCCCCCAAGCTTTTTCTTTCTTCATTAAACACTTGTTGAACGTTCAGCTCAGGTCCCCTGAAAACATGTCTAGAGAAGTGCTGATCCCAGAAATAAATCCCTTTCAGGGACATGCAATACAAGTTGCCTGCAACATGCCACTTGCAGGTTTGGATCTACATGTACTGCTGTTCTCACAGCTGAGGTCATGCAGTTATTCCTTAAAGAAAGGCTTTGAAAAGTCTTCAGGAACACCCAGCTGTCTAGAAGAACAGCTAACAGAGATATTTACCTTTGATTTAGTCAATATTTGGTTCATCTGAATATTTGCTCTTTACGGTGGAATGGCTGAGGACAGGGAGCAATTAGGAAATTTCTGGACCAAGGTCAGCTCAGGCACAGTCAGTATGAAATGACTGTCAAAGATAACATTCAAAGTTTTCCAGGGGACTAAGGAAAGACTGTGGAAGGAAGGAATGTGGGCTGAAAAAAATAGGAAGGCTTCAAACCAGGGAGTCTGAACTGACACACAAACTCTTGTCCTGGAAACAATGAAGTCTCTAGGCAAGACAACCAAAGAAAATGAGTCTCTAAATGTTAAAGCCAAATTATTCTCCCTTGTGTGGAGAAAGAGAATCAGAGGCCTAGAGTAAATACTTGAGTCATCTGATCCACATGCTATAGCCACAACTCATTAGGTATCTGCTAATTACAGCTTTGAAAGATGCCATGGAGTGACACAAGGCAGCCCTAGATGTATTTAGTTAGTTTTACAACTGAGGAGCCTAAGAAACCCTTGGGTTCTTTCCTACAGTCAACAGCTTCAACAAAGAGCCTCTACATTAATTGCAACCACATCTTGTCTATTTTTATATATGAGAAACACTACAATCCTTTACAAAAGCCATAAAACAGCCATTATCATTTAGGGATGCTATTAATCAAGGCATTCTCAAGCGTTTCCCTTCTCAGCTCCCTTGCCTAGATTGCAGCCCAACAGCTCGTTGGTGTTTAACTAGAAGCAGTGTAGCCATGGGCAGCCCCTGCAGGAAACACGGAGCTGTGACCCCTCCTGCAAAGGGGAGACCCTCAAGTGTCTGCGGGCAGTGCCAGCACTGGGAATGTCAAAAATGATCAAAAATACCTACTTCATTCTGAAAGTACCCTTCATATTGTAGGCTTCTCTCCAACACTCCTGGAAAACCAGTGCAACAAGCAGAAATGAAGCTGAATTCTCTTTGCACTACCCCAAACAGGTTATTTCTGGGATCCTGGAATACTCAACTGAAGATTACGAAAAGCTTTCTAACATGAAGGGCAAGTGGTTTGCCTAATGAAGCTGAAGGGTTGTCATTATTGGAGATACTTAAGGACAGCTCAGACAAGCCTCTGTTAGGAACATTAGTGTAAATATTCTTCTTTGGGGCAGGAGTATGGATTAAATGATATCCTACGATCCTTTCTGACTGCCTGACTCTACCACTCACCAGCCTACCCACCCTGCATCTTAAAAGTTTTCTGCATCATTTTTAAACTTGCAACCCCTGAAGAAGACTGAAATCTCAGTTACTTAGTAATAAAAAATGAAAAATAAACCCCCCCTAAAATAAATGGGATTGTTATCTGATAGAGAAGTAAAAAATGAGGCCGAAGAAACACATGATGAAAGAAGATACCAGAAGCACAGCAGTATAAATTAGGAGTCACAACGGCGATATAAATCCTGGGAGCAGGTTGGCAGAAACCTGACATTTTTCATTTCTCCACAAAGCCATTATGCACATCTACTGAACTAGAGAATTAGGACTAGTTCTGCCAGTTTGAGTCATGGCAAATTTAGGGGAGTTGCAAAGCTGCCCTGTCTTTGGGTTCACATCAGACACCTTCACTCTCCAGCAGCTTATTTAGTGCTGCAGTAGATTGGCTTTGAAGCATCACTGAAACATTTCTCAAGATGTCTAGAAAACAGTCCAGTGTTAGAGGAGTGAGTTATCTTCTTTTTTCCTCTGTGACAAATAAAATAGGAACTGCTTAGGTCAGACTGGTGCGCTGTTTAAAGCTCCTGCTTTGAGATGTGCTTCTGAGCCTCGACACCAGCAGCCCAGGGCCAGGGCACCAGTTACCAGGAACACAGAGCCAAAAGGGACCTCGGTTGGTCCTTCCCCCTGCCTAAAACATCCTGCACACAGGAAGAGGATGGCTGAGCAGGGCCAGCCAGCAATAGCTTGGTTCTTCCATGTGGTTTTATGGGGCAGTTAACTTTTATTGCCTGGTAATTACTGAGGAAGGCTTAGACAACCTGGCTCTCCAGCCCACATGGCAGCAGACTTGTGTGGGCACTCAGCTCGCAAAACTCAGCTGCATCATAATGTTTCAGAGGGGAAAGCCAGTCCATTAGCAAAGCCAAGTTCAAGAATACAGTTTAGCCATACTTTGGTACTACCAGTAAAGGACATACCAACTCTCCAGTTAAAACAAAAAAAAAAAAACCAACTTGCAAAAAGGATCCAAGGTATGGGCTGCAAAGAAAAAGTACAAAATAGCACCACCACCGAAGCTGGTACAACAAGGAGTGAAGAAGAGGAAAGAGAAGGCCTTAGAAGAGGAAAAAAGCATAAATACTGAACATACTCATTTTGCAAAGGAGAAGCAGCACAACCCAGGGGTACAACAGCTGTTGTTTAAAGCATTGGGAATTATTCCCAAGGAAGTCATTTGATATTTCCTCCTTCTTTACTGTTCCCCACTATGGTACTATCTCTTCACATCCTCAGTGTGTGTGAGCAGAACACATCAGTACTTGTAAGATTAGTTCTTCTCTGTAGAGGCACTGAATGCTTTTGAAACCATGGTGACCTAATGCCAGTTAACTAGTTTTGATTCTCTATACCTGTTTTAAACTTTACTTAAATCTTAAAGCTAAAAAGATATCAAACAATCCTAAACCATGTGATAAACATATGCCAAAGTCATATAATTTCCAATCTCTTCTGTTCATTCTTTGCAATAAAAAGAAAAAATTACAGTTGATTTACTGTGCACTCAAACTTTGGGAGAATCCAGGAACATGTGGGATCAGTTTAGGTCAGGATCAAAACCCCATAATTTAGCTGAGAGCAGCTTCCAAACTAAGCTCATATTTTTTCAGACTATATTTATAGTGCAGTTACTATGTGCCAGTACATCATTAAATGTCCTAAAAACTAAACCCACCCTATTCTTTATGGGGAGGGTTTTTTTCCCCTTAAGTCAGAAATACCCATTCCAGGATAATTCTGGACAGGGAGAGAGAGGACTGACTTGGATTTCCACCACCCCATTTGTGATACAAAGCTGTCTCTCGTGGGCTGCTCTGTGTGTCTGACACAGATAATGATGCAATTCTCCAACATTCTGGTTTCTGTGCTGTGTGTTCAGCCACATGGTTCTGTTTCAAAGTCTGATTATTTCCGATCCCGCTGCATTAAAGCTGCAAACTGAGAAGAGTATAGTGCAGGAGACAAATTGGACAGGCATCAGAGGCCTTAGTTTAACGTACTTACCGGAGGAGTGGTGTTTTTGATGAGTGTTCAGAGCTAAAAACTTCTCCTTATCACACAGAAGTTGGTGTCTGCAGGGGGAGGCCTGGGGAGAGCAGTGCTGCCTGGAAAAGCAGCCAGCTGAGCCGGTATCTCTCCCGAACAACAGTGGGACATGCTGAGCTCAGGAAGCTGAGTGAAATCATGTCACTGACTAAATCAAGAGTCTACAGCTGTTGCAACATCCACAAACTTATTCCAAACACAAAACATGAGCTGAAAATGTGCTATTTCAAGACTATTTTTCTCCCCCCCCTGGCCTTTTACCACTTGAATGTGTGCAGAAGACATAGTCTGAGTATTAAATGTTTTTCTAACAAGAAAATAACAGAGACAGAAATAAATACCCTGGGATTCAGGGGGCCAGTGCACACACAGCAGCAGGAAACACTGCCAGGTTACTATAAGCATTCATGAAATGGTCTCTAATGTCTGACTGGAAAGCACTGCAATGTTCAGTGGGATGGACTGAAAGGCAGCCAAGGTGGCAAACAGCTCGGGTGCTTCCACACCAATAATTACCTTTATCAAACTTTAACTGGTGACGCCAAAACATCTTCAGCTTCCAGCCATGAAATGGGCAACAAACATGCAAGTTTGCTACTTCACGGTAACATATGTTTGGTCTCAGGAGGTTAAACGCTCATCTGTTTCCGAACTGTGTTAAAAATCTAAACAAAAACAAACCCACAACCTCTTTTTCCCTGTCCATGCTGCTGAAACATGTCAGCCTGCACACAAATTACGGCTTTGCAGGACTTGTTATCTGTCATATTTCTCATGACATAATGGCCCCTGTGTAGACCTGCAAGGTAAAACAGAGTTTTAAACACGTATAACAAAACTGAGCCTTCAATCAACGTGGGTTTGTTGACAGGAGGAAAAAGGCCTGGACACACAGATAACATTTGTGCTGAAGAGAAGTTCAAATTGCTGTGACACAGACAGCAAAGGGACAGAAATCTTGTTGCTTCCCAGAAACAAAGGTAAATACAGACTAGATTTTTAACTCCACTTTCAAACTCTGACTACAGACCCATAAAAACAATTACAGTGTAAATTATTCTGTGAAGACAGACAAACCTGAAGTGAAGAACAATCCTCTCACCTGATACTGATTAAAAGAAGGGGCTGTACAACACTTCTGATAGCCCACCACACCCTTAGTGACTTTATGGCACCAGCAGGTACTTTTGTCAATGTGGCTTTTCAACCTTAGCATTGAGAAACCCAGCAAATTAAATAAGCTAAATCTGCCAGTGATCCTATAGCACCTTTTTTTTCCCTCTTTATTAAAGCAGTCAGAAAGGCAAAAAAATCAAAACCAAACCCACAAATCTACCATTTCACTGCAGAGCTATAATGTATTAAATCATCTATATGAGTCAACAACATCATGCTGCTGGGAAAAAATGGAAAACCGTCCTGGGAAAAATAAACAAGTGTCATCTGTAGAACACATGGTGTAACACTCCCACTTGGCTGGGTGGTGGGAAGCAGGCGGCTCAGCTGTGGGCACCACCATCCCAGGAGGATGTGGACACAACAGGAAAAACCTGGAGAACAGGAACAAGGACACTGAGGGGTCTGGGGAAGGAGGTTATTAGAACAGGCTGAAGGCTTAGGGCTGTTTGTTCGAGGGGCACAGCCCTCTTTGTCTTGGTCTCTGGACACGTGAGGAGTGGTTGGGAGGAAGGGAAGAGTTCCCTCTGTGCCCCCAGGCCCTCGGACAGCATCAAGGTCACTGAGGAGCAGGAGTGTCAGAGACAAGACCAAGACAAGCACCCCTGCCATGACTTTTAGCATACCAGGGATTATAAATTTGAGCAATATGATTTGGCTGCTGTCTGACAAGTTCCCCCTGACCTTGCTGGCTGGTGCATTCCCTGTACACACACACAAGTGTTTGCTCTGAGCTGCCTCAGCCCACTGCCAAAGCAAGAGTGCTCAGCACTTCCTTCTGGTGCCCACCTGGCCCTTGGTTTCCAGCTGCTCCACTTTGATCTCCCTCCCTTCTGTGTTTCCTGGGAATGCCTCATTAGTGGTTGGCCCGTCTTTCTCCTGAGCCTTTTCCCCTGGGAAATGTGCTGGGTTCCCCTGGCTGACTCACAAACACTTCACCAGGAGCAGCTAAAGAAACAGGAGCAACCTGGTAGTTTCCACAGTCTGACCAGGTTTCACAAAAGATGTGCTGAAAATTAAACTAACAACTCAGTTAAAATAAGTGGGCAGAACTGAAGGGACTTTCTTTGTGCTTAGAAGTATAGCAGTGCTATTTTTAAAGAATTATATTTTCAGCTTATTTTTTTAAATGACAACATTGCATTCAAATGTTACTGTACAAAGTTAAAATGCTTCCAAGCACCAGTATTCACTCGAGGCACCACCATTCCCACCTGAAATTTTAGGGAAACAGAGGGAGAGAAAGAGAAAAATCTTTTTCAGAATTGTGTGTTGATAAACCCCAAAATAGAAACATTTTCCAAGCAAATTTTCTACGTGCAAGTATCCCAGTTTCCCAGCAACTCTGTTAGTGACATAATGTTGACTTGGTGGGAAAGCAGCTCTGGACAAGAAACTAAGAGCTTTCTTGGAGTCTATTCATAACCCTGCATTTGCATTTGATAAATTGCTTCTTTGTTACAGCAATTCCCCTTTAACGTGATGATTGATTATTCTTGTTTTACACAAAAAATATTTGGTTTAAAATGCTAACCTTTCAGCATTTTCAGTACCATTAGGTCAGAAGTTCTGTCAAAATGTTCCAAAACTTCCAAGAAGTTGCTTAGGTATTTTCCTCAATTAAAAACCATCTTACATAGGCTAAGTTTCTCTATATATTATATAAAACTGGCACTAACTTTTATAGCCTGGTTTTAATAGGTTTAAAACAAAATGTTTAATTATCTAGACCACTATTTAAAGCCAAAAGAGAGTGAGTTATAACATTGTTGTAGCCATAACAAGAAATAAAAAATTTTGTCTGGTGTTTTCAATTTATATTCCAAATATTTGTCAATTCCCAAAACTGCATTCACAATTTCTTGAAAGAAAGGCACAGGATCCAAGTTTCTTCTAATTTATGCAGTCGTAATTTTTTTTTGACATAATGGAGTTATTCATTCAGCGTGAGCAGGACCACACTCTGAGCAAGCTGGATCTTAAAAATACATATTCCAACCAAGCTGATGCCAAGAGGAGTGCTTCCTTAGGACTCTTTAGCAGAAATTCATCCAGGCAATTCCTCTGCCACAGCTTCATCAGCCTTCTTGGGATAGCAGTACGAGACTTCTCCAGGTCATTTCGAGCTAACCCAGCAAGTGAGGTGAGCAATGAGGCAGAGATTTAGTTCCTGCCACCACTCAAAAAAGAAGTTTTTATCATTGTACTTCTAGTGAGGGGCACAACACAGCCCAGCCCTAGGTATTTAATAAAGAGTGGCCTCCTGTCACCTCCTTTCCAGGCCCATCCAAGCAATACCTTGGGAACTGGGCACACAGCAATGAGCATCCACCTGCAGCTTGAGAAACACCCAGCCCACACATGCTCTGCTCCTCTGCATCCTCTGCTACTTCAAATTCAGCTTTTCCCCAAGCACTCTGTAAAATTTTTCTCCACTTAACCTCAAATTGCCTTTCTCCCCTGCTCACAACTGGAGCTGAAATGAAAAAAAATAAGCTTGGCTTGTCTTGGAGCGTCAAGAAATAAAACCAGCTTTGAAACAACTGCAGAACAGCAGAAATAGGTTTCAGTGGGACTTCTAATGTGCTGTGAATTACACTCGTGCTTAATTAAATTACCTTGCTGACTCAGAGCCTAAATTAATGGAATATACACTCTGTAGTGTTTCTTTGGCTTGGGTAATTAAAGAACGTAACAAAGTGAGGTTTTAGATCTAATGTAAATGGAAGTTTCAGTAATTAAGTATTTCTTCATTCCAGCACCTGGCATAGCTGTTTGGGATAGAGTAAATGTAGGAATAGGTGAACAAAATTCTTCACCTGCTTCCTCTGCTACAGAAACCAAATGGGGGAATTCTTAAGAACCAATCCTGCCTCATCCTGATCCATCTGTAAATATTTTCTTTCAAGCCAATAAATGCTTTTTTAGTCTCCTTTGTACCCCCTGGTTCTGGGTTCCATTTGTAGTCAACAACTGGAAGCATGAGCTATTTACTTATTTACTTTAAGCCCGGAAAAATGGGAGAGACTTTGAAAAGGCTGGTTTCTTCTTGAGAAGGGGATGAAATTTCACACTGGCTCTTATTGAAACCAGTTCCCACATCCCAGGCCCCTCCTCTCACTACCCCATCTCTCCCCCACCCACATAATCTGCCCATTTGTGCATCAAATCTGGTATAATAAATCCGACTCCCTAAAGACCGAGAACCCATTTCCACTCCGCTGCACAAGGGCAGCTCCACCCGGGGCTGTGAAATGGCACTAGGGCAGTGGAGGGTATGCTTTGCAGTATTAACTTGAATTAAACTGGGATTGAAACTAAAGCCCCCTGAACAGAGTTTCTTTTTGCAGCACCAATAAAATCTGCGTTCTTGGCAGTAGAGCCCAAAATCTGGCTGGTGCACTGAAAGCAGAAACCCTTCCCCTGGCTGGGGTCGCCCCTTTCCTTCTCAGGGCTGCCAAGAACCACAGGTCCCTCCTGGAGGGGAACACCCATCACAGCCTCTCCTGGTTTAGGGATACCAATTCATCCGCCTCTGTCCTCAGCTGATGGAAAAAAAATGTATCTTGACAGAAATGAGTGAATGGGGAAAAAAATACTGGTAAAGTCATGAATCTTTCAAGGTTTTTGTTTTGATGTATAAGCTTAAGTCTCCAAGAAACCTTTCTGCAAGTTTAGATGAAACTGTAAATGTGATAAACTAAGCTCTGTGCTTTGCTGGAATAACCAAAATCTATGGACCACACTCACTTTTACTGAAGGAGACTGAGTCAGTTCAGTAGGTTTCTATACCAAGTGGTTATTAATGTTTCCTTGTTGTCACCTGGATTTATTATCCACTGCATCCACGTAAATCTGAAATCCATCTTTGCGCAATGGCATCTGGTACATTATTTCTAGTGAGACACCACTGAGTCTCCCCATAAAGACCAGCTCCATAAAGCAGCCTCTGGTCTCCCACAGGACACAAAGAGGAATGAAACACCATTCAAAGGGAATCTGGAAACTCTACAGCAGCGAGTCATACAGGGGAAAAGCAAGTGATGATTTGAAGAGCCTCTCAAGTTTCCTGCAGCATGGCATCAGCCATCCTGCTGGGAGCTCCTTATTCCCCCAGATGCCCCATTACTCACGGTGCTATATTGTTATGGTCTTCTACAAGCAGCACTGGCAATGTCAGTAAATAAACTATGGAAGCCAAAATTAGTTTTCCTTCAAGATCTAGGAGGAGAAACATTGCCACCAAGGGATCGTTGTCTATTGTACCTTGCCTTTACAAGGATTTCATTGGGAAAAGCACAGATGTTGAAGAGAAAGGTAAAAAAACACAAAAAGGGGACTCCAGGGCTGTTTTATCTGGATTGCTATTCCTGGTATTCTGCTGTCAAGTCTCTCATCACTCTCTGGAAACTTTCTGGAATTAATAGAGTGATATAACACCTTCTGGTAAACTTGAAATCTCTTCAGCCTGCAAACAATTCTTAAGGGCCATACCTGCCTTGTTGCTTCCTGTCCCAAGGCAAACTTACTGAATACCCGGCCTTTCAATCACACTGATATCCCACGTGTCCAAAGCGCTGTCCTGGATTAGCCCTTAGTCTCCCAAACTAGCAAGTGAATCCACTCAGCTCCAGGAGAAACCCCTTTGTTCAAGTGACAAAACCAGGTTGGCAATCACCTTCCTAAATGACAAATGCCTTGTCTTTTCCTTAAAGGAAACACAACTTTTGTGTTACACACAGGAAAAGTGCACAACCTGTTACATCAATGGATTTTAATCTCAGACCTCTCAGTCCTCCTCTCCAAGAATACTAAACTTGACTACTTGTTATGAGTTTTACAAATTAGCATGGGTCACTGATCTGCCAAAGCCTTAATAAACTCCATTTATATGCATTATAAAATTCTTTCAGAGTCTTGCGGAAAAAATTACTTCTCCTGCAAAAAAGAAAGAAAAAAAAAGAAAATCTGTAAAATCCAACCTTTTTGTGAATTGTACTTGCCAGCTGCATGAGAGCCCACCAAGGATATTATTCTAACCACAAAAGTCATGCTCTTGGGAGATCAACCTCCTAGCAAAACTCAAATAAGAAAAATAAATCACTCCATCCCAAGTAGAAGTTGTAGATTTTGCTTTGAAATCCATTCCCCTGATCTGCCACGCTCATTTCTCTGAATAAGCTCCAGTCTGAATTCAGCTTTCTTGCAAGTCAAGGAGAAAAATGGCACAGTCACCCAGACAAACATTCCCCAAAGGCTCCCTTGTTGTGTGCAAGAGCATTAATAATGAGTTATCTCTACTAGAAGCATTTCAACATAACACACCCTAGTGTCTTACTGGTGGGTTTTGATTTGCTTTGTGTTCTTGCTTTGTTTTTATAGCCACATAACTCTCTGCATCATCTGACTGTGTGGGTCAATCCCATGCAGAAAAAAAATGAGAAATAATCTACTTCTCCACTGTTACAGCACATGCAGTACAGTGGAGGGTTAATTAACACCCACCTCGCCCTGCTTCCCTTGGAAAATGATTATGCTGGCTAATAAACCTCACAGTTATGAGGCTTTTATGAACTTACACACCCTGCAGTAATTTCAAGTGCATATGAGGTTTGCTCAGCTGTTTGAACACTTCTCACCTCAGTCACCCTTTCTCCCTGTGAACTCAGACCCCAGCAAAGCTTCACACCACTGCAAAGTAATTGTGTGATTGAAAGGGAAGGAGATTCCTGCACATTCATTCCTTCCATGACTAATTGGAGAGTTTGGAGATATTTTTCCTTTACTGCTAAATGAAACTGCTGCCAAAGGGTGAGAGCTAGGGAGCTGGGTGTTTGACATGCCCTGGATTTATTATCTGATCTCCAGGGGAGCCACTTAAACCTCCAGTGATTTCGTTCTACCAACTGTGAAACAGAAGTAACAATCACCACCTACCTTGAGGTGCCTTCAGCATTCCAGTGGAAATGCCATCTCAAGGCATGGCAAGTATTGGCTGAATCTGTTGAACTGTAGGATCAAGTTCTTTTTCCCAGCTTTTCATGGAAGTTCTTGCCCTTAGGAAAGCAAAGAATGCAGAGAATGTATCTCTTAACGTGAATGTGGAGGTTCCATGAGAACAACCTTGGTGCTACACGGCCTGGAGAAGCTTGGAGCAACTGTCTCCTTTCTCCAGGAATACCAATTTTTATATAAGACACTACAGTTGAACAAGAAGCAAAGAGGTTTTCTTCCTGCCAGCTGTAAAGAACCCACTCAATGCTACAGGGCAAATAAAAGAAATCAGTGAAGGAAGCAGGACACACTGTTTCTCTCTCAACACCAGATTTCTGTTGCACACCACAAAACACTCTGAGAGAGACTCTCTCAGGAACATCCCACCATCCAACTGGTCCCTAAACTAACGTCCATGAAGTTTGCTCGTAGATGACTGACTCAACATGCTGACAACTTCATTTCTTCTCATTAAAATACTTATAAGATAAACAAACTACATGTAATATTTTCCGAAACACTGCAAACAGACACTGCACCAATTTCAGCAGGGACATTGTAGAATAGCAAAAAGGTGAAAAGGCTTGAATAAATATTTCTAAACAAAAACAGAACTGATCCATACAACAGCTTCTCCATCTGCAAATTCCTGAGAAAACTGATTGAGAACATGGGTGCCCCAAGAACAACTGAGAGCTGCAAGGCATCATCCTGTGATTTTTCTGACTCTGGGGAAAGCAGATGCCAGAAACATTCTGTACTACAGCTAAAACTGGCAGGAAAAGAAAAGCCAAACTGCTTTCCTTGATTTTAATAAATGAAATAATGACTATTTTTTTCTTTCTGAAAGGAATTAAAGGAGGTTGAAAAAACAGAGGGAAGGATAAAACTTGCAATTTTTGATTTGGGAGATGTGCTTTCATGGTGGCCCATGACCCCAAAAAAGGAGAGAAAAATAGCATTTTTACCAACAAAATGATTTTTTTCTTAACCAACCCACACTTTGGCAAAATGTTTTAAGAGATTCTAAGTCATTGCAAACCCCAGTCACAGAAGGAAGCTTTGCACATCCATGTTCCAGTGCACACAAAAATTACACTGCAACCCTCAATATATTCTCAGAGTATTTGGCAACAATGCATTAAATATAACCGTGGCTGCACGTTGGCTCTTTCTTCCTGTATTCAGAGTTGGAAGACTTATGAAGTGGTGTCTTTCATCTTCACAAGTTTGTAGGAGACTTTTTTATTTAGAATACACATTGCAAGGTTTGCTGAGGGGAAAGTCAACAAACTGTGCCTGGCAGCTGGAACACAGAGCAGAGAAACGAGTTCCTGTTGGGACCAAGTCTACAGCTTCAGATTAGGCACCAGGAGAGCCCAGTGCTCAGACAGAGGAGCTTTGTTCTCATCCCAGAAAATCCCATCGCACCCTGGGAAGCTCCCACTCTCAGAAGGCTCATCACAGAGTTCTTACAGTTTTGTTTAGGGCTTCTTTTAGAGCTGGGAAGTTCCCAGTGACCTGAAGTGCTACAGCACTGCTGTCTCAGTGCTGAACTGCACTGTCTCCCACTGCTCAGGAGGAGCCCAGGCTGCCATGATTTACACAACTTTATTTACAGTGCACATCAGACAACAGTTTGTGTTGATAATGATCCCTATAAAAGCTTTTTATATGCACATAAAATAGATTAACTCCCCACACTGTGGGTTGCCTCGAACATTTCTTGACCTACAGCTACACTTCTCTGGCCTGGTGAAGAGCAAGTCAGCACAAAATAGAGGGGTCTCCCTAAAGGACAGACAAGTCCTTACTTACATCCTGCAAAATTAGTACCTTTGGGAGAAAGGATACTACAGTCAAAGTTCACAGTTCCAGCACATCAGTCAGTGTTGGGTCACAAGCTGGTATTGCTGCCCCCAGCTTTGCAGTCTCTCCTCTTTCTGCTTCCTAACTGGTTTTCCATTAGAGAAAGAGTTTATGACATCAGCCTGAAACAGTACAATGGGTGAAAATCATCCCTTTAATGAGGGCACAGAAAATTTGTATCAGACTATTCAGAAACTTCCACCATGAGAAACAGTTTAATCTACTGCTCTCGAGTGTGACTAAAACTGGAGGATCTGACCTAAAAAAACGATTATGTATTCTTCATGCTACACAAGCATGGCTGAATTTGCTTTATCTGACAACTTAGAGAAACACAAGGATGACAACATTCTCTTCTTCACATGGAAAGATGTCATCCTCATACCAGACTAGCTCTGTGTCCTCAGCTCTGCAGATCTGCAGTCCATGACTGGGATTCAGTCCTGATCAAGCTGTAAACTTAAACAAACCTGTAACCTTGGGAGGTAAGTCCATGAGGACAGTCCAGCCTCTTCCACACAAGATGTCTCTTCTCCAGCTCCTCGCCTCATTTGAAGTCCAACCTGAACACCAGATGAAGGCTAAGCTTTCAGAGCCAGAAGGAAGCAATTAAAAGATATATCTAGTACCTGAATGCTTCCAGGGGGAAAAAGGAAGGGTCTGTAGCAATTCCTCACCTCTTTAAGAAGGGGGATGTAGGCTTTGCCCAATAATAAAAGTTTAATGACAGTTATTTTATGTGCTGTCAGAGTGATCCCCACGTGGATCCTCTGCTGGACTAAAATTCAAGACATTTAGATGCACAACACTGACCTGCAAGGCACAGGTCAAAGTCATACTCGCTATCAGGTTTTTATAAGGGTTATGTAGCAGAGCATTGTGCAGGATGCAAACTTTTCAGAGAGGCAGGGAAGTTTTGGAAACCAAAAGCTCCTTGTGACAGCAGATGGGATCAACTTACAACATTACAGATCTCACAGTCAGCAGGGCTTGCGTGTGCCCTACAAGAGATCTAAAAGCAGATTTCAGTTGTTGCTACTGTACCAGCATGACACAAACACACCAAAGCAGAACTGGGTGTCCCCAGAGCAGCATCCCTGGAGGTCAGAGGATGCCAGGGAACGTGCTGCTCCTGCAGAATCCCAGCACAGGGCGTGCCAGGGACAGACAGTGTGTGGGAACAATGCCTGCAGCAAAGGGGTTTCCAACCAGAGCACCTTGGCTGGGCTGCAACAGGGTAATTTGGTACTTTCCCACACGGTCAGCCAGCTCTCCTGGCCAGCAGGAGACAGATGCAGCAGAAACATCTTTCTTTCAAAGGATTACTCCTGGCTCTGGAGGAGTTTGTAATTTCTGGCAGCCTTGGGATGGGCTGCGCAAAGGGAAAAGGAACCTCTTTGCTCCCTCTCCCACACTGTGTCCACCCAAGGCCCAGCCTTAACGTAGCTCTTAATAAAATAGCACAGATGTGCCCTGTAGGCACATAAAGACTAAGAGAAACAACAAAAAGGAGAAACAAGATGTTCCTGTGTGTTTCATAAATCGGTATATAAGCATAATGCAATCTACTATCCTAGATAGAAAATGAAATATCTCAAAAAGTATTGAATCCTTGGTGGATTTTCTCAGTGGATCGGCATGAAGCTATTTAGCCCAGATGTTTCCATAACTCTGATGCATTAGGAGCTGCACAGCATTGTGGCCAAGTGCTAACATAGTGAACTGTAATGTAAAACATGTAAAGATCCTGGCTTCCAGAGTGATTGGAAGTTTTCACTCTAACCACTCTGCTTCCTCATGTAGCTATATTTTCTTTACAATACCCACTTGTATTTCAAGGCACATGGAAGAAGAACCAAAACCTTCCCCTCTCCCCAATTAAAACCTAATTCTCTGGAAGAAAACACAGGGGCCAACTCGAGACTGACGTGGAGTTTTTCAGAACTGGAAATCTCACCTCTGAGCAGCAAATCTCATTCTACAGGCAAGTGCAGGGCCAACAAGGCACAGCTGGGCACCACATGAGCAGGTGAAGAAGTGATGGTGAGATTTTTGATGACAACTTGGTGTCCAAAAGACAGAGTGTCTCACTGAGAGGCTCTGGTTTGCATCTGTAATGGATTTAGGGATTTGTAGAGGTAGTTTTAAAGATATCTAAGCAGGTGCAATGTGTTTGTTGGAATGGCCTGACCAAGGGAAGAAGCAATAATGGGAATATGAAGCAGCACAAAAAAAGTAACAGCATGTGCAGAGAACGATATAAGATAAAGAGGGCAAAGAAATAAACTGGAAGTCTCTATAGGAGAATAATGCAATAGAATACCTTGCACTGAGAGTCCATTTGGAAAAATCTGTCACTATAATTAGTTACTCAGAAGAATTTAAAATATTTCAGAGTGATTTCTACTTGATCTCCCTGCCAGGATGAGAGCTGAGAGTTTTGTGATTCTTTGAGACCTCGACAGCCTAAAAAGACAAAACACAACCCTAAATTAATGAAAATTAACTCCTGCTACAGCTCTGAACCTGCAGTCACAACTCTGTGTTCACATAAACACTTGTAACACCCCAGACTCAGAGCCACAAGCTCAGGGGCTCAGCCAGGAGCTTTACTTTAAAATAGATATATATAGAGAGAGAGAGAGAGAGAAAGAGAGAGAGAGTTCTTTAATACCTTGAGAAAGCATCAAGAGAATAACCCACACACTTGTTCCCAAGAGGTACCTGTACTGATAATTTAGGGGAGGAAAAAAGGGAACTGGGCAACAGTTCAGAAGGGCACCACACAATCCAGGCAAAACATTCCACCACAGTACAGACCCAGTACACATTAATCCACAACCCTTAAATCAAAACCCAATCCCCCCAGCTTTAAGCTACCCAAAGCATCAAGAAAGGAGCAAAGAAAGAGAACAAGAGGGAACAAGAAGAGAGAAGGAGGAGAAAGAGAGGGAGACAGACTCTATAGTTACCATCAGATCCCTGTGGCAGAGCAGCTCTCGGGTGTTGGGATGGGAGGGCCCGGATCGTGTGGGGAGCACAGCCTTGGGTTTGATCTGCTCTGGGCCCTGTGGCCTCCCCCAGGCAGAGCCTCGGAGCCTCTGGGCTCTCTGGGGCTCCAGGGCAGGGTGAAGGGCACTGTTCCCACTGTCCCTGCCAGGCTGGGCTGGTGAGGGGCTCCAGGAGCTGTGGGGTGTTCCAGTGAGGGGCACTGTTCCCACTGTCCCTGCCAGGCTGGGCTGGTGAGGGGCTCCAGGAGCTGTGGGGTGTTCCAGTGTGGGGCACTGTTCCCAGTCCCTGCCAGGCTGGGCTGGTGAGGGGCTCCAGGAGCTGTGGGTGTTCCAGTGTGGGCACTGTTCCCACTGTCCCTGCCAGGCTGGGCTGGTGAGGGGCTCCAGGAGCTGTGGGGTGTTCCAGTGTGGGCACTGTTCCCACTGTCCCGGCCAGGCTGGGCTGGTGAGGGGCTCCAGGAGCTGTGGGTGTTCCAGTGTGGGCACTGTTCCCACTGTCCCTGCCAGGCTGGGCTGGTGAGGGGCTCCAGGAGCTGTGGGGTGAGGAAGTTTTCCCTGGCTGTTTGTGACTGGCAGCTGCTCCAGGGTTTCTCCATGTGGGCTCCAGGGGCTGCCATGAGGGACACGATGCCACAGTCCATGGAGGGTTTGTTTCACTGCTACAAGAGGAATGTTTAGTAGCCAAATTTCCTATCTGGCACTTGCCAACTATTCTGCCTTTTTTTTTTCCCATCCCCCATGACAACGCAGCAACTTCTCATTCAACTCTGTTTCCCAGCATAACCACTTTTAATTCACACTACTGGCTGCTAGTTTTATTTAAAATATTATGAGATTTTCAATTAATGAGATAAAATGCATTTCAGAAAATGAGTTTGTAAAGCCATAGCATGTGGCAGAATTTGTCCTCTTATGTTCCAGAGCTTAATCCCAAACCTTGCATTATTCCTGGATAATTTAAACCTTTTTAAGTTGGGTACAGCCCTTGATAGCTGTTGGACAAAAGCTGATGACATCTGTAACCGCTAGATAGCTCTCTTCTGTTTAACAACCAGAGTTATTATAATCTATTTAGGAAAAAAGTCAAACATTCACCATGTACTAGATTGTTCTACATTGTTTCTAAATTAGTGCTCTACAATTTAAACCCTTATTCTTGTATCATCCGTATCATCCTCATCCATACCATCCTTCTCTCTTTGCCAGCTCAGAGGTTAAATGAAGCAACAATTATGTTACATTCCTTTAAATCATAATAATTTCAAAAAGTAAAACACATGAGGTAGTGAAAGAAGGAGGTGCAGCCTTGAGATATCTCAAACTACACAAATATTGTCAAATAACCATTATTGCCATGTCAAAATAAGCATTCAAGCCCCAAACTCCCAGACCTGAATATTGAAGCAATTATTTCTCTTCTAACATGGTTTTTGAAAACTGTGACAAAAAATTCAGAATAAGAAAGTCCTAATAATCAAAATGCACATTTGCCTTGGGTTTAACTTACTTTCTTCTCTATCACTTCTCCTGTAGGAGCTTTAATGGAGAAATCCATAAATGACTGGCTTAGAAACAGAAAAGATCCATCAGAAAGAATGCCAAAAACCTGGTCAGAGGTAGGACTTCCGTTGGGAACTCAATATACATGTGCACAAAACACAGGATAACCACTCCACCTGCAAAGGCTACGTGGGCAATTCTGTAGTAGTTCAAGTAGTTTCCATTCTTACAGTTTAACTGCAGTGTGCTTTGGGGAATGGGATTGACTCAATTCCTGCATTTTAACCACTCATAACAAAGGCCATCAGCAGCACCTGAACATTTCACTTAGAAATTCCATCCATCTTCATTAGCAAACAAAAGGGTTTTTTCTCCATTTCAAATACAATCCTAAATAGTGAAATAATGGCTTAAAAATTGTAATTATTACTCTCTGGGATTCTGCAACTGCTGGTGTCTCAATTCTCTTTTTCCACAGAACTACTAACAAGACCATTGTCTATCTCTATACAAATAATAGATAGTAAGGACCTCATCAGAAATGAGCACTTGTATTATCCAGTTTCAACACTTCATTTTGCAGAATTACTCCCTTCCTGTGTAATTTGCAGTGATGCTTAGCTGGCTTCCCAAATGGCTCAGTGTCCACTTTGCCTAACTAGCTTCAGTTTTTTCCAGAATTTAATTGTTCCAGCAAAATCACTTCCCTGATACATAGCCCAAACTTCTCTTTTTCTATGTGTTTCTATGTGAAACCACATTTCTGAGTAAATACAGTGACAGAGACACAGCAAAATGCCTGCAGAGGAGAAACAACAGCTCCAATAGCTGAGCTGAGAGACGCTAATTCACTAATATTTCATAGAATGTGTCACCCAAAAGCACTGGAAAAGAAACAAATCATCACAACTCATACACTCTGCCATTGCTCTGTCCATTCTCAGTACCAAGGCCTTCGATATTCCCTCGTAAGAAAGTTAACAAAACTTAGTGTGCCTCAAACACGAGGCCAACATTACCTGTATGCTTTAAAGCTCCCGTTTTGTTGATCAGCGAGCCTGTAGATTGGCTAGTCCATAAATTACTATATTTCTTTTCACTCTTCAAATACAGTATATCTCTGGGTTTGATGCAGTGATTCCTGAAATAAAATTTATCTTGGTTGTAAGAGCAGAAATGTACGGCTGAGCTGTCGTAAAATTTGTTCTATGATATCTTTTGCTTTGTTCACCAAAAAAAAAAACAAGAAAAAAAAACAACCAACCAACCAAAAAGAAGGATAGCAGTGATTTTATTATGAAGACAAGACTCCCTAACGCACAGTCATGGGAATGCTATTTATTGCTGTGAAAAACCAGTGCCATGACAGGAACAGTCGCAGGCTCCCAGTTTCAGTGTCTGTGCAGAGGTTTAGGTACAGCTGGTCCTGTCTCAAGTGGGGTCAGCTCTGCTCCTGTTTTAATTATTCTATGGTGGTACTTTAACAACTACCTTTTTTTGACACAGGGAACTGCAGCACCGATATCCAGAGATAAGATCAGTGCCCATCAGATGTTGCTGGGGATATCTTGCCACAAACTATCGATCTGTTTTTGCCACTCAGAGGACTCACAGTACTGTTTCCCATTCAGCAAGGCAACACTAGCATTCATTATAAGCATTTACTCCAGCAACAGCCATCTTTGAGAGACTTCAAGGTCAATTTTTGATGGATGAGTTGCAATATTAGATCAGATGCAGCACGTTTAAAGTTTAAAAGCATTATTGCGCTGTGGTCTTGCAATACATTAGGAACACATTGTCATAACAATTTCTCCCAGATTCCATTAGGGATGTGGGTTATAAAATATTTCTAATTACAAGTGGGACTACGTATGTAGCCAGCTTTATTCCTCTCAGACACACCAGCAGAGAAGGCTGATGTGATACAGCCTCTACCCACGACAAATCCTTGTCTGTCACAGAGGTTTCTTACAGTGATGGACGGACTTAAGACAACAATGCAGCCAAAGACCAAGTTACGATTTTTCATATTTGATATGTCTTCATTTCCTCTTTCTTACTCCAGCCCCCTCAGGGATTCTGTAGATCCAGTAGGAGATTGCTCACCTGCAATACAAAACCCAGGGTCTCCACCTATGAACTCTATTTATTGATGTCACTTCTGTGAAAGCTCTGGGGGTGGTTGCTTACATTCCACCCCCACCACTAATCCCTTCCTCATATCCTTACCCTGCCCTAGCTACTGCGTCACTCCTTTTCCCAGCTGCCTTTCTTTTTTCTCCCCTTTGCAAACATGCCTGAAATAATAACCAGTGGAAGTAAACCATCCCTCCTGAGCAATGTTTGAAGGCACTTACCTCAGTTATTGTCAACACAACAGCCTTTAGCACACTGAGAATTACACAACTGAAAGCTGTCAGTCAGCTTTTAAAGGAGTAAATGATCTGGACTTAACAATAGTAAGCAAACAAAAGGAAAAACATAGAACAAGCTACTGTATGGAATTTGTTGCTTTTATAGTGCTTAGAGGAACTCTTTTTTTTAAATGTAAACAGCACTGGCACAAAGCATCTCTGTTGTAGTGCCAGA